CAGCCATAGCCGAGGTGGAGAGTTGACCGGAGGGTTGACTGGACGTTGACCGGGAGGTTGACCGAGGTGTTGACCGGGGTCTTGCAGCATTGACTAAGCGTTGACCGAGGAGTTGACCGGCGCCGTTGACCAAGACTTTGACCAAGCTGGAGTTGGTAATATCTCGCCAAGCCCTTAGCCTACCCTTTCACCCTGTGGATGTGCACTCACCCTACGGTACTTGTTGAGTCTGAGTTTGTCTGTCTCTCCTTTCTGCATCGAGTCTCTTCTGTCCTAAGTGATAGTTTTCTGTGGATGAAGGATAGAGCCTGCTGACCACTCCTCTACCGGATGTAGTAGGGCTGATACTGTGGCTGATCCAACTTTCCAGGGGGGCATAACCCTCCCAAGGACCGGTGCTGACCGGCTGGAAACGGTTGGTAGGGCACAGTGGGCCTGAAAGACTTAGTTGCGGGCTGAAACACAGGCAGTCTCTAAGTGTTGAGGGCCTGTTTGAACCACTCCCCTACCGGACCAAGTAAGGCTAAGGATCTGTGTCTGACGACTCGACTATCCCGAGGGATACGAACCCTCCCAAGGACCGGTACAAACCGGCGGGCTGCTCGGTGTGGCACAGTAGGCCGGAAAGGCTGAGTTGTGGGCTGAAAGCACGGGCGGAACGAAGTTGATCACGTCGTCTTGTCTGCGACGTTAAAGAATTCTTGCGGAGTTAGGGGGATCTCCTTAAAAGGCCTCCAAATCAGCCACTGGTTCAGTAGTGACAGCCTTAGAGTAGGTCTAGGTTAGTGACCATAGTTGGCAGGGTCCTACCCTGTGGTCCTTAGAGAGTCTGTCAGTGAGTCTACGGGTTGGTCTACGTGGTGGGGAGTGGGACTCTTCCGTCGTGCACCTAACACCATGGACGATTACCCGATGTATGGTTTACTTGTTGGGTTCTCCCTCTGGGGGACCCTCTGGCGTCTCCTCTTTCCCCTGGAGTTCTGGCACACATTCACGTGTAGAGTAGATACCAAGGGTGGTGCTTCCACTAAGCCTTATACGAAGGAGGAGGAGGAAAAGATGGCCGCCATCCTGAGGGAGAGAAAAGAAAAGAAAGAGGCCAAAAAGAAGGCCCTGATGGAGACGCAGGCGGCCAAGTTGAAAAAGATAGAGGAGGAGATGGCCAGAGAAAAGGAAAGATTGGAAAAAAACGAAGAGGAGAAACTAAAGGAGGTGGAAGAGGAAGAAGAGGAGGATGAACAGCCACTGGAAAGGAGGAGAGAGCAACGAGGGCAGTACAGTGGCAGTAAAAATGATGAGATGGAGAAGAGGATTTCAGAGTGGGTTGCCATCTTGTCTTTGGGAGAAGAGGAGGAGGTAGCCATGTATATCCCCAAGGACGAGCAGGAGGCCGCCATGAAGGAATGGGACGCGGAAGGAGATGCTTTGAAGCGGCAGGCGATGGAAGATGAGAAGAGGATGAAGTGGAAGTTAAGGATGATGAGGGAGAAGAAGAAGAGGGTGGATGCAGCGAGTGCAGCGGTTAAAGAGTTAGAGGAGGTGCAGAAACTAAGTCTACAGTTGACCCCTCAGGTAGACCTCCAACGAAAGGTAGAGATCATTGCCCAGAGTGTCGAGCGCTTGGCCCGGGTGCAGGAGGAACAATATGAGTTCAGTAGAAGATAGGACATGGCCGTGCGCTCGATGCGAATGGGATTTCGGGATTTTGCCCGCGAATTGGTAGGCGCCGTAGGTGCCGAGGTGAACCATCGCCTCGAGAAGACAGAACGATTCTGCGTTGGCGCCATTGAAGGCGTCAAGCTGACCGCTCCCAAAGTGGAAGAGGCACGTCCTCGGAGGGAGCCAGTCAAAGTCAAGTTCCCCGATTCCTACAGTGGAAAGAGGGAAGAGAACTTTGACAACTGGGAGGCCAACGTCAATACCTATGTGCATTTGCAACAGGTCTCCCCTGATCAGCACGTGCTAATTGCAATCCCTGCGCTTAAAGACGAGGCTGCCAGTTTCGCAAGATCTCTAGTCCGCTCTGCCAACTGCAATGATGATGGAGTTGCCTACTCGACATTCACTCCCCTCGTCGATTTCATGAAATTGTTGCGTGAGCGATTTGCTGATGTCGCTCGCAGTGTCAAAGCCTCAGATAGGCTCCAGACCATCCATTCGCGTCAATGGAAGAGTGACAGGGCACTCAAGGGTGTTATGGACGAATGGGTGGCTGTCCCTGACCATGGGGTCACAAAGACCCAATTGGTCAACCTCTTCTACAAGGCTATGCCCGAATCAATGCATGGCCACTTCTTCGCGAAGAGTTAGGACCCTGCCATGACGTATGACGCACTCAGCAGAGAAGTGGTGGCCTTTGAGGCAAAGTCTGTGTCAGTTTCCACTTTCTGGCACAAAGACCTGGACAAAGGGAAGAAGTGGAAGGTTCGCACTATTTCAGGGCAAGTTAAGGCCAAGGATAGTTTTGTCGTTACTTTAGACGAAGGTAGTGTTGACGAGATCCCCTTCGATCAGATAGAGTGGGGGTTAGAGGATGGGGACAGTGGGGTGAGTCAAGGGAGAACTTATGCTGCTGTCGCGGCTGGAGGGAGGCCGCAAGGAGGAGGACGAGGCCAGGGCCAAGGGGGCCGGGCCTCAGGGGGCCGATTTCAGGGCGATCAGGGGGTTGGCGGCAGAGGAGGAAACCGCCAAGCGGGAGGAAGGGGTCAAGGTCCCCCGCAAAACCGGTCTGGGAATAGGTCCCCTTACATGAGGAGTGGTTGGCACCCAGGGCTGCCTCAAGGCAGGCCTTGGGAAGATTTGGGTTTGGACCAGGGTGTTTGGCAACAGCGTGTGGACCGGGGCCAGTGCATTTACTATGGTGACCCGGGCCACATCATTAAATATTATCCTAAGTATAGAGAGACCCGATCGGCTGCTCAAGAGCCAAGAGGCAGCCGCCGGTAGGGGTAGTAACTGCCCCTACCATAAGGCCATATGGGGAAGATAGTGCTAGCCGGCACGAGACTCCCGCACCACATGTGCCTATGGCAGAGGTTGCAGGCCGGTTTCTAGATTGCTATCCAGAGACTGTTTGTGTTAGAGTCTTTCTAAACACCTTCCTCACAGGCGTGGCTGAAGAATTGAAGGAGAGGATGCCCGCCTGGGCTAAGATGAAAAAGGAGAATACAGGGTAGCTTATATGAGTAGATACAGAGATTTTTAGAGGACGAGCAGGCGTCTTAGTGGATAGTGGAGCCACTCGTAGTTATGTTAGTAGGAAGGCGCTACAGAAGTTGAAGTTGCAGTTAAAGGTCCAAAGACTAACAAACCCCATAGTAAGTATCCTTGCGGACAACCGCACCATGCGCGTCGAGGAGTACGTAGAAGGAGTCCAGGCATATTTCCGCCTGGAACAGGACGGGACGGTGGAGAAGGTTCTTCATTCCCTGACTCTCCTCGTTGAGGATAGCCTCCCATTTAGTATAGTCCTAGGTCTGGACTGGGGAGAGGCAGCAGGGGCCACACTCCATTTGAGAGAGCACGAGTGTAGGCTCCCTAGTCCGTCAGGCGGCGTCAAGACTGCCCGTCCGTTCCATGTGTCAGGAGTAGACAACTCCCTGGCGCATTGCTGCCTTAGTGCTCCTGCGTTCGCAAGGCTCGTGGAGAAGGAGCAACTAGAGGAACAGGTTTTTGTAGCCTATGTTAGGCCAGTGACTGAGCCTAAGGAAGAAAAGCCTATAGACCCTGCTATTGCCAAGCTGCTGGAGGAGTTTAAAGATCTAGCTGAGCCACCGATAGGAGTAGTACCGCAGCCTATCCAGCACCGCATCGAAATTGAGCCTAGCAGTAGAACCCCCAAAGGAGCTGTGTATAGGATGTCTCCGCAGGAGTTAGAGGAGTTGTGCAAGCAATTAGACGAGCTCCTCGAGAAGGGTTGGATTAGACCCAATTCGTCTCCATTTGGAGCACCTGTTCTATTCGTTCCCAAGAAAGAGGGAGAGCTTAGGATGTGTATAGACTATAGGGGTATGAATGCTATCACAGTTAAGAATGTTGAACCACTGCCCATGATAGACGATCTTTTAGATCGAGTGCAGGGGTGCAAATATTTTACAAAGATAGATTTGAAGTCCGGATATCATCAGATAGAGGTTCATCCTGATGATCAGTATAAGACAGTTTTCCGGACTAGATACGGGCACTACGAGTTCATCGTGATGCCCTTTGGACTAACCAACACGCCAACGACTTTTCAGCGATGAGTGAATTACCTGTTTAGGCCTTGGTTAGATAGGTTTGTTGTAGTGTATTTGGATGATATCCTAGTGTTTAGTAAGACCCTCGAAGAGCATCAGGGTCATCTTAGGCAGGTCTTGGAAAAGCTGAGAGAAGCCAACTTCAAGATCAACTCAAAGAAGTGCGAATGGGCGAAGACCCAAGTGTTATATTTAGGCCACATCTTAGACGGAGACGGCATCAAGCCAGCGGATAGCAAGATCGCATCGATCAGAGATTGGCCTACACCGCGTACGTTGACAGAGTTGTGGTCGTTCCTAAGCCTAGCAAACTACTATAGGAAGTTCGTAAGGAACTTCTCCACTATGGCGGCGCCCCTCCGCAGATTGCTGAGGAAAGAGACTATTTGGAAGTGGGACAAGGACTGTACGTCTGCTATGAAGAAGTTGAAGCAGGCCCTGATAGAGTATCCAGTCCTTAAGGTAGCCGATCCGCCCTTACCCTTTGTCGTCACTACGGACGCTCGCCAGTACGGCATAGGTGCTATTTTGCAGCAAGACGATGGCAACGGTTATAGGCCCGTAGAGTTCATGTCCGCTAGGATGCCTTCAAAGAAGGTTGCGACATCTACCTATGAGAGGGAACTCTACGCTCTCAGGCAAGCGCTAGAACATTGGAAGCACTACTTGCTTGGGAGGCACTTCAAAGTCTATTCTGACCATGAGACATTAAGATGGTTAAGGACGCAGGCCAAGATGAAACCTAAGCTTACTAGGTGGGCCGCAGAAATAGACCAGTATGATTTTGAGCTCAAGCCTGTCAAGGGTAAATACAATGTAGTTGTGGACGCTCTGAGCAGGAGAGCTGACTACTTTGGAGCGATAGTTCACTATCTGGATATAAGGAGAGACCTGCAGGAAAAAGTTCGAGCAGCCTATGCGCAGGACCCTATCTATAGTGACCTCCTCAAGCGAATACAGGAGGCCCCAGAGACTGAGCCAGATTTTTTTTTTTTTTTTTTTTTTTAAAGGTTAATTCTTTAAGCCCAACCAATTGAATTACCTGTCAAATCTGGACAGGATGGCCTTTCATGCCTTTTTTATTGTCTTTATAGTATTACGGGGAACCCCGTAGCAGCCACATCCGTGCTCAAGCCTCCAACGAGAGAACATGCGGGAGCTGCACCCACCAGCAGGTGCGATACCTGCTACAGCAGGTGGGCGATACCGGCCAGGGGTCAGCCGGAAGCATCAGGACCGAGCTTCTTCGATGGGCCAGTCACTGTGCCTCCCCTCCGGTCCCCTCCCCCTATGAACATCAGCAGTCTCTGCTCAATGCCACTCGGGGGGACCAACAACATATCTCTAGGTGGCGGGCGCCAAGCTTGCCCAGGAAGGTGCATGAGGCCAATGGGGATTGAACCCAAGACCTCCTGAATGCCACTTGCGTGCCTTGCCAACTGAGCTAGGCCGCTGGATGACTGAGCCAGATTATCGCACTACGAGTGGGCTGTTATTCGAGAAGACTAACGTAGTTGACCGCCTGTGCGTTCCCAATAGTGAAGAGATCGGTAGTCTGATCCTGGGAGAGTGTTACGACACAGAGGGTCATTTTGGTTGGCAAAAGACTCTAGCCAACCTGATGCACGCGTACAGCTGGCCAGGGATGAAGAATGACTGCATAGAGTATGTTCGCAGTTGCAAAGTTTGCTAGCAGAATAAGACCATTACGAGTGCTCCGCTAGGTCTTCTTAGACCCTTGCCTATTCCTGATCAGCCCGGGGATTTAGTGTCCATCGACTTCATGGACGCAGGCGTCAAGAGTAGGCATGGCAAGAGCCAATTCATGGCGACAATCGATAGGTTTAGCAAGTATGTTGTTTTTGTACCTTTGCCTTCAGAGGCATGAACTGAATTAGTGATCCGTAAGTTCTTTGATCACTGGGTCAGTGAGCACGGGGTCCTATTGTTCATAGTTAGTGATAGAGACACCCGGTTCACCAGTCAGAACTGGCAGGAGTTGATGAGAGTCTATGGCTCCAAGTTGTTGATGTCGTTTGGCCGTCATCCAGAGACCAACGGGCAGACTGAACAAATGAATAAGATCCTGCAGCAAGTTCTAAGAACGTATATTAGACCTGATCAAGTTGACTGGGATGAGATGCTCCCCAAGGTAGCCAGTGGTTACAACAATAGTGTGCATCTGTCTATATGTCGTTCTCCCAACGAGCTGCATAAGTTCTTTAGGTCGCGCAGACCGTTTGAAGGACTCAACCGGATCAGATTCATAGGCTACCGCCCGGTACTAGGGAGTTTGCAATCCAGCACGAGAAAGAACTAGCTACTGTTGTAGAGAATCTCAGGAAGGCCCAGCATAGGATGATAGACCAAGCTAACAAACATCGTCGCCCGTCACAGTTTCAAGTCGGCGACTTAGTCTGGGTCAAGGCTAAAGAGTTCGTTCCTGAGGAGAACATTTTGCAAAAGTTACTCCCCGCGTATAGAGGACCGTGGCCAGTCCTAGAAGTCAAGGGAGGAGAAGATGGTCCGTCCTACTCAATAGAGATTCCACTGCACCTCCACACCTACCCAGTTTTCCATGCGTCAAAGTTGTTGTCGTGCACAGTAAGTGATCAGTTTCCATCTAGGCGCTCCATGATCCCTCCAGACATCGATGGAAGGTATGACATTGACGGCATTGTAGGTGAAGATGTATTCAGAATAGGAGGTCGAGGTGGTCCTTAGAAACAGTATAAGGTCAGATTTGCATATCAAGAGCCTGAAGACGATCGGTGGTTCACCAGAAGTGAACTTCTAGAAACAGCCCCTGACATAGTTAAGGCCTATGAAAGAGATAGGAAAGGTAAAGGTCCTGCCTTGGACCGAAATTTTCTCGGAGGACCTCGAATTTAGGCGGCGGGAGTGAAACAATGTTCACCAGTTCGCAGTAGCTGATGCAGATCCCAGGGCTCGATCCCTAGTTCCCCACCTTACCTGTGTCAACCCGTAGAGTTGAACCTGCGGTCTGTAGGACCGCCAGTGGTAGGTAGGATATCGTAGGTTACAAGGTATAGGGGATTCGAACTGTAGACATGTCGGGTAGGAGTCTAGACAGTCCAGAGGTCTTAGCTGTAGACTTTCCAAGGGGTCAAAGTCGTAGCTGCTACTTACCTGA